TTTAGATGGATCGGTTGAACAAGTGGAAAGTTACCAATCTATATATCGTCAAATTTCAGTACAATTTCACTTAACAATATACCAACGGACGAAATTCTTGAAGCTGGAAAAAGATTAAAGAATAAAATGACATCGGGTCCAGATGGTATTCCATCTTTTTTTTTAAGGGATTGTATTTCAGTGTCGGTTATGCCTTTGGGGCATTTGTTCAATCTTTTTATAGACTCTGGCGAGTTCCCTCAGTTGTGGAAAGAGACAAAAGTATGCCCAATTTTCAAATCAAACGATAAAAATGTCACCAATTATCAACCAATTTCATTTCTTTGCAAATTGTCGAAGGTCGTCGAGATGATATTGTACGATCGAATCTACAGATCTATTAGCAGTTCAATTTCAATTTATCAACATGGATTTTTCAACAAACGGTCGACAGTTACTAACTTAGCAAGTTTAACGGAATTCATGGAAAAAGAACGATAAGTGTTGACAAGTAGATGTAGTCTACACAGATTTCTCGAAGGCCTTTGACAAAATACCACATAATATTCTTTTAATGAAGTTGGCTCGGGTTGGTATGAGCGCAAAAGACATAAGACTATTTAACTTTTATTCAACACACAGACGGCTAAGGATGTTTTACAATGGATTTTATTCTTGTGAGTTTGTGTCTACATTGGGCGTGCCTCAAGGCTCTAATCTTGGTCCGTTATTTTTTTTCAATCTTCATAGACGACTTGATTAAACTGGGCTCAAGTTAGCCTTTGTCGACGATTTCAAACGTTTTTCTTCGATTAATAGCGTCGGAGATTGTGAAGCGCTTCCAAATCAACTTCAAAAATTAAATGACTGGTGTAGGGATAATAAACTGAACTTAAAACCAGAAAAATGTAAAGTGTTCACATACACCAGGAAGAAACGAAAAATTGAATTCCAATACAACATAAATGGAATTGCGCTATCTCGATCTGAGCAGATGAGGGATCTCGGGGATATCTTTGATAAGGTCTTACTTTCAATAGTTATATTCAAAATTGGCGTGCGAGGCAAGTAAGCTCTATGGATTTATTGTTCGGAACTGTAAGCAATTCACAAACATCAATGCCCTTTAACGCATTGTTTTTTGCGTACGTGCGTTCCAGGTTGGAATATGCATCTGTCGCATGGAGTCCATTTTACAACAATTATAAATAGGAAGTTGAAAAGATACAAAAAAGATTTCTGAACTATCTTTCATACAAGGTTGAACGCACTTACCCTCTAAGAGGAACCGACTATAATATATTTCTTGGAAACTTCAATGTCAGAAGTTTGGAGAGTCGGCTTGACGAAACTTCAGTTATCTTCCTTTTCAAATTATTACATAACCTTATTGATAGTCCAGAGCTGTTAGGTTATATACATTTTCGAGTGCCTCGGCTAGGTAATCGTGTTGCTGCACCATTTTATACAGAAAGAGCAAACACAAATCTCCTACTTAGCTCTCCTATTTACACTGCCTGTTCTAATTTTAACAAAATATCAGGATATTAGATAGATATTAGATAATAACTACTATTTTTTAAGTATATTTGCTGTGTAAAGGAATTCAATTTAATTTAAAATTTATTCAACATTCAGTAGTGAAGGAACTTTAATCTATTTAGATTGCAACCCGAATGGTGTGTATCTATATAGTTGTCACCTGCTTATATTCAATAGTTCTTTAGTTCTGTATTATAGTTGCCGCCGATGGGTTGTATGACTTGATAAACACAACAGGATATCATCAAAGGTTGTGATGGCCATCTACATGGAATGAGCAATACTTTACTTGTTTCCTTTCGTGGAATGAGTGTTCACGGAGCCCGCGTGCTCAAAAATATGCTCTCGGCACTTGTGACACAATTTACAATTTTTGTGCTCTTATTGGCAATTACTTTTCCTGGGTTGTAGTTATAATCCTGCAATTAAATCTTTTACTCGTAGTATCTATTGAATCATTCTTATTTGTTAAATTTCGCGAAAAGTTCTGGCGCTATTCTTCTCTATGCATATCTTAAAATCGAGGTGTTCCTATGCAATCCTTGAGCTTTGCGAATTGACAACTCTAAACACCTCTCTATGAACGAGTAGAATCATTCAATGGGATGTTTTTTTTTTAGCTAAAATAGAATTCCTCTCATCAGCCAATGTAAGTGGATTTTCAGACCATGAACCTTTTCGAATAAACATTCGTGGCATCTTGATTAGCTGGAACAGAAAACAGTTTAGCATCGTGGAAAGGAATTTCACGTCATCCTAACTTTTCTCGTTTTAATTTTTCAGATTGCATGCTTCTCTTTAAAACACGATCAGGAGTATTGTATGTACGACTAATTAGTTGTAGGTACTCTAACATTTGTAAGATCTGCATTTTGTACGTTTTCTTCAGACCAAGAAGCTTTTCGAAGGCGTTCGGCATTTTGATTAGCAGGTTACCACTGGGACAGAAAACAATTCAGCATCCTGGTAAGGAATTTTGCGTCGTTTTAATTTTTCTCCTGTATATTTCCAGATTGCATGCTTCTATTTAAAGTAAGGACAAGAGCATTGTATGTACGAGTGATTAGTCGTACTATAACATTTTCAAGATCTGCATTTTGTACGTTTTCTTCAGACCAAGAGGCAGAAAACAATTCATCATCCTGGAAAGGAATTTTACGTCGTCCGAATTTTTCTCCATTTAAATTCCCAGATTGCATGCTTCTCTTTAAAGTACGGGTGAGAGCATTACATGTACAACTGGTTAGTCGTACTCTAACATTTCTAAGATCTGCATTTTGTACGTTTTCTTCGGACCATGGAGCTTTTCGAACAAACGTTCGTGGCATCTCAATTAGCAGGTTACAACAGGAACAGAGAACAATTATTAAGCATCCTGCAATGAAATTTTACACCACACTGTGAGGTTTTATACTGCAGTTGAAAAAATTGACGCATATTAGCGAACATTGAGCCCTGCTTCAACAGGTGACACTCTTATTGAAGTAGCTAGGATACCTTATACTAAGAACTTCCCTTACTATACTTATAATCAAGTCTAAAAGATATTTGTACAGCATTTTGACCTTGTATGCTGATATTGTCCACTTATAGTTCACATGTGTTTGCTAACTCACACTGACGTTGTGAAATGAACGTTTTCGACTTGGAGGGAACATACTTTCCTGTGGCGTATTTCCCAGTGCGGCAATCTTCAGTGGCGGATCGAGGATTTTGTTGAGATATAAAAAGTCAAAGTGTCGAAGTCAAACCACATTTATTTTTATTACAAGCTTTGTTTGTTTTATTTGCACCAAAGTTACACCAAGCTGCACCAAAAAACCTTCAAATTCAAATCAAAATTCCAAAAAGACTGACCATAGAGAGAGAGACTGACAAGAGACAAACTAACAAAAATATAGGATGCCAAACACGTTTGGTGTTTGTGTATAGGGAAATTAATTAAATAATGGATGCATGTCATCAAAATGTAAGACGTTAGCATGTCACAATATTGCCGCATCAACTTCGTTTTCTTTGACGTACCATGTCTAGTAAAGTTTGTCATTTTCCCAAGTTACATTTTTATTAATAAATTGATAAGAATCACTAATACCAAAAAAAAAAAACGAAATTCCATTAATACAATTTTATAGCAAGTATACTTAAATTATATCCCAACTATCAATCCCCGACTCGTTAAAAACTGACAATAATGAAATCAATAACCGAAGATTTCCAGAAGGCAACATTACCCACAAGTGCCAACCTAAATCCCATTTTATCGGCGGATTCGGTTATATGATCCGAAAGCATTCTATCTCTTTTCAACTAGGATTAAAATGCAATTGGGAATAATTTCGACGTTATTGATGAAGTGCATCCATTATTTAATTAATTTCACTATAGAAAGTGTCGCTTGGTGCAAATAAACCATTGAAATAAACCTGTACAAGTAATGAGCTTTTCATTAGGTACCTATTCTACATAACCTAGGCGGATAAGGTAAATCTAGATTACAAAATCTATTTTTCTTTTATCTTTTTCAAATCTGTCTATAATATTGCCTATATCTAAATGTATTTTCCTATGAATATGTAGTAAAGCTAATCCAACCAAACGATCCTGCGTCATACGCGATCGCATTCACGTTTTCAATCTTCTCAAGGTGGAGAAACTTCTTTCTGCAGTTGCTAAGGAACTTTGTAACAGTCGGGTAAAATTCTCGTTCTATGTTTGACAGTACATCTGTAGCTGTTTCCCATATAGTCTGCTGTTGAATAGATTGTTCAACTAATAGAATTTAGCGAAATAATCTCGTGCTTTCATTTTCTGCGGTTAACCCTGAAAATTGATTACAAATTAAGTTTACTTTTTCCCTTAGTTCATTATTCGAATTATTATTTACCAGTTTTTTTCAGATCAATAAATTAAGGGAAAAACATTGTAACCTTTCCTTGGAAAATCTTTCCAGCAAGTCACTAAGAACATAGTCCAGGAATGGACTATAAATTGCGTTTTTCCAGTAGTCCTTTGGATCACTTGCAGGAACATTGCATCTTCGAGTTTGTTTTGTTGCTTACCGCGGAATTTTCAATTTGACACGATGAGTTTCCATAATATTTGAAGCATCATTCATTATATTTTCGAATTCGTTGTCAGCAGCCTCTTGCATTTTACAACATCTATCACATTGGTGACATAACACACAGCTGCCTGCATATCAATACTTTTATTTTGAAGAAATAAACCTATAGGCAATGTCAAACTCAAAATGTCGGACAGGGCATATATTGTGATTATAAATTCACAGTCTGCAGTTGACTTTAAAAACATATGAGCCGCAGAGGAAGAATTATTTTCTTCCCGTTTGTAATTTTTTCTAATGCATCACAAACTTTGTCCAAATCACTTTTAAATTGAACGATGGAGTCATGCCTTTGCACCCAGCGAGTCTCACATGGGCTTTTAAGATTATTTTTCAGATGTTTTTTTAGTACTTAATTTCTCTTTAACGAAGCATTAAAAAACGACACCAACTCTTGAATTATACCAATAGTATTTTCAATAATTTTCACTTTGGAGCACTTTGAAATAGGCAAATTTAAAGAGTGATTGAAGCATGAATTCAGAACTGCATTTTTGGCTACTTTTTGGATTTCGGCTGCAGCACCCTTAACTGAGGAAATATTTACACTACAACCGTCACATCCTATCCCAACACCAAATGATTTGAGCTTCAGAATAATTGTTTGACCCAAAATTTTACCACTAATTTTTGGTTCGACTGAAACAAAATTTTCTCGTACTTGTACCAAATCTTCGTCAATCGTCAATGTAACGCAAGGAAATACTGAGCTATAAATGGAGGTTTATATCCGTGGTTTCGTTGAATATAACACTGTTATACATTGCTGCATTTATATGTGCCAAGATAATTTTTAAAATTTCCTCACCACAACATCTTATGAGGGAATGGCATGTAGTTTTGCTAATGTATGTAGCATTTAACTTGGCATTTTTTAAATGTTCCTCCAGTTGTTTATCGCCTGCCTCTACACGAAAACGCAGAAGAGCTTTGAAATTACCATCGTTGGAGTTTATGTTCTCACTGTCATCAATATTTAAATTGATATGCGTATCATCTCGGTGTCCGCGCAATGGGATATTTTGCTGCTCTAGTAGCATAATTGTTCTTATAATCGGAACTACTCCATTCCGATTTTCAGTGATTCGGGTTTTTCTTTTTTCAACCAGTAAATTGCGTATATCCATATCTTTATTCTGAAATGCAGCAAAGAAAACTTAGCTGGAAAAAATTAAAAAAGAAGTTCAGTAGGTATATGTTAGATGAACATATTTTCAATGATGGGTATCTTTTTCCTCGGCTGTAATATGATATAGGTGAGTTTGATGTTTCATAACGTCTCCATCTTTTCCTGTTAATTTCGAATAATTTTGAAGCGGGAGGGTAACAAATTTTTCAATTTGGAATTCTGAGGTAAAGATGACGCAATAAATGCAGAAAAATTCTTGTGTTTTCTCAGAAAAAAACAAGCCATTTAAACTTTTTCATTAACTCAAAGTTCATCCTTCGCTTTTCTTCCTTTCCCTTTTTAGCATGAAGGGAATGGGGAAACACAGATTCTTATGTTGAGGGCTTCCAGCGATATGTCAGTAATTGATGTTTTGTAAAATCATCAGTAATTTTTATTTCATTATCTACAAAGTAGTTCTCGATATCATATTTAAGAGCTGTTTCAGTTTGGGTGGTCATGATGATGATGATTTTCCCGGTATCTCTTCATTTTCTGACGTTGAACAGGACGTTGAGGACTTGGGATGCACCCATATATCAATTGTCACATCTACATTTTTATGTGCTTCTGGATTTCCTTTTTGGAAAAATAAACAGAACTCAACCGACTACCCACCGCGGAAAATTTTTGGCTGTGATAAGTACTTCTCCTTAAGCGACAAGGGTAGCCCAAATTGAAATTTTCATAAAAATCAAAAATATTACCTACTTGCTATAAGCTATAGCTTTAAAATATTTAAATAGAAAGCAATAAGCTTAACATAACAATTTTAATATGTACTGACAGATTCAGCAGAAGCCGGAATGGTAGTCAAGGTTGTTTAAAGGAAAAGGTTGTCTGATAATCTTGATGACGTCATCTGTATGTTTAAACATGATGTAAACAGGCCAAGAATCGTAAACTCTACAGGATAAATATCGAACATGGAGGAATGCGAGTGATGTCACGCAGTCCTTGATCGTTTGTTTTTTATTATGACAGTGCATTTGCCTTGCATTTTCAAACGCGAAAAATTGTTATTTTGTGGTTATTTCCATTGAAAACTGTGTTTTTTAAATTTAGCAGACTTCAAAAGTTTGTGTGCTTGAGTGGTTAGCTAATTAGGAAGACGAGTTTGTTTGTTCTCTGCTTATCAGTAGTTTCAAAATACCTACATAAATATTATATTAAAATGTGCATGCATTTCTTTTACCATTTTTCAGTGCAACAAGAAGGTACATTTATAAGATAGATATGCCTGGTATGAGATGTGCTGTGTATGGGTGTAATAACAACTGTTTTGATCAAAAAGCAAGCACTCAAAAATGTAAATTTCATCGCTTTTCCAAAGGAAAAGATCTTTTATCTATTCAAAATGAGTGGATAGTTTTTTTGTAGAAGAAAGGACAAACTCAATGCAGATAGATTTTTTGCATTTTATTATCATAAGCGATACGTGGTTGCAATAGTGTGTTTTATTTTTTACTGTCTCTACCTACTTCTCAATTATTATTTAATAGTTTAATAGGTACTAAAACGATTTAATATGGACATTCAAAGTAAGCTTATCTCACAAAGCCAAATAGTGATACCTTATTTAGATTTTCATATTCATAAACCAGAAAAACACTGCAAGTTTCCCATATTTTCCATGCGTTTACATAGTAAACGCGCCAATATAGAAATGTATTTACATAGGTATTTATTTATTTATTCACTCTTCACAAACACTTATTTCTAGTAATTACATGCAAAGGAAACTTACAACTAAGCAGTTATTTGATTTACAAAAAAAAAAAAAAAAAAAACAATACAAATACTTGACTAAGAAATACTAACAGAAAACTATGCACCACTAAAACCAGAAAATGTTTGGGGTTTCCGCGATTACTTTTAGACATGAGTCTTTTATGCTAACACACATTAAATAAAACTTTAAATAAATTACACTTATAACACTAGATAAACTTCGAATTTACGATAAAATAATTGTCAGCACAAACTCAACTATCATCTGTATCGGCGGCCATCTTGAAAGTCAGGAATGCAGGTGACGTCACACAACTTGTGAACAAATTTAGTCGATTGAGCAATCCTGTAGAGTTTACGATTCTTGCAAACAGGCCATATGCATTTCCTGGCTACTACTAAATGACAGCACCATTCAATGCTCCTTGTGCGTGGGTTTGAGGATTTTTTTTTTATATCAGGAAGACTTTAAGCCCCCCAGATAATCTCATAATAAAAATTCGTGTTTTTAACATAAAATACCTTTTTTTTGTATTTAATTGATAGGTACATTTTATTTTATCATCTGACTGTTGGGGGCGACACTCCCTTCGCCCCCCCCCTGGATCCGCGCATGCTTAAAATTGATTTTATTAAATGGAGAATGAAGATCGCTTCATGTTCGATAACATTCAGCAAAACTTCCTTCGCATGAATCAGAAGAAACTCAAGGATCGTTTCTCTTCCCTTCCGAATCACCAAGCTTTGACAACGGTTGCCGAAACTTCATCATACTTGTAACCATGGGCGCCGTCAGGAATAGTTTCAGGGAGGTGCATACGGTCAGTGACGGCACGTGGATTGTTATATTGGTTCAAATTACTAATTAAGGAAGGTGAATGCCCAAGGCAGGAGCTGCCGAAGGCGCAAAAAATTTTCCGGGTCCACGCCCAAAAATGGTTATTTTGGGCTTTCAGAAAAATAATTTTTCTAAGTGGTCAAGTAAATTATATGATGTTTTCACCTCGATGGAAAGTGGCACGAGCAAGGGACGAGTGGCCCTCAGGGCAAAATATATTTGGGGGTGCCTAGGCCTAACCTATCCCTTGAGCAGTGGCGCACCCTGAAAATATGTTTGGGGAATGGGGGACCTTACAAAGGTTGTGGTTTGTGTCTAAAAATCTTAATAAAAAATCGACGTGTCAGGGTGCCACTGTGCCACGCCATGATGTCAAATTTTTTTGAACGTAAAAATACAGTTTTGGACGAGCGGCCTAGAGGGGGAGCCCTGGATCGATGTCCCCCCTGGGTGCGCCACTGCCCTTGAGTGTCATGTAAAAACTAGGAAAATAAAAATGCGGCCTGGAAATAGTGGTAATCAAATCATAATATATGGACTGTGGGGTCAGTCTGTGTTTCTCGGAATTATGGTCGGATATATTCGGAATACTTCGTAAGCAAGCTCAGCGTTGCCACAAAAACGAATATTTCTAGGCATGGGCGGTATGGAAAATGATATTTTAGAAGATAGGAATTGAGTCCTTATTGAATGTAGCTTAATTAAATAAAATGTTATTATATTTGTTTTGCATGTATGACATTTTTTTCTACATATTCGAAAATTTCCGCAGCATCGTGGGCGGCGCACCGAACTGCCCGGTGATATGTCCGCTCCTGGGCATGGGCTTCTCGCAATTTAATACTTTTTGCGGGCTATCAAATCGTAGAAGTTGAAGAAATTTATATCAATAAACTAGAATTTGAGTAAATTCGAAATTCCCGCCATTCTACAGGTTGGTAGCGCGCGAAATAAAAAAAATAACCCGATCCGAGCCGGAAGTTTGCCGAGGAATATCGCGGTGTACAAAGAGTGCGAGGAGGCCATCGTTTCTTGTTTCGCCAATTTTTTAAAACAGTAACTATTAAAAAAATAATAATATGTAATAAAATAAAATAATTTTTTCAATGTATTTCTGACAGGGGGGTGCAAGTACACCCCCTTGCACCCTGCTGCCGGCGCCCATGCTTGTAACAGAATACCTCCGAGCGAGCCTAATCCTATTATTTTGATAAAATAAAACATTTTGAAATCAGGAAGAGATCCCTTTTCAAATATAAGATTACATACTTTGTTTCACATAAAAAAATTTGAAAAACTGTGAAAATTGCAGCGGGGATTTTTTAGCACGAACCAAAATGTGTAAAATATGTTTTAAAAGTAGAGGACGTACCAAATTTTGAAGCGATTTCTGATGTTCTAAAACCATCTAAGGTTTGATTCACTTACCGCAGAGAAAAAATTCCATGAATGGTTTTTTTTTGGTGGTTTCTTTGGTTATTATTGAATTTAGAATAGAATTTAACACGTGCGAAAAAATAAAAATCTGACATAAATATGTTAACAATAAAGATACATACATGTATATCAAAATATATGTTTTAATGGTCGTTCGAGCAGTGAAACCGTGTAATTTATGTTAAGGATTCCGCGCTTATCGAGGTGCAAAATCAGTCATAAACAATTTATTTAATGGCCAAAAAGTATCTTACATAAATGTGGCTTGCAACAAAAGATAAGTTTTGGCACCAGCGATGTTAAGGCGATTACAAGAAAATTCTTCTTCTTGTAGTTACTAATAGCTACCCAATTTTTTTTTTTTTTTTCAAATAGGTAAATAGAAAGTTCTATAGAAAAAAAAATATTTATTTGGCAAAAAAAAAAAAAAAATACAAATTTTGGTACCCGATAGATTTTTGTGCTTTTGTCATTGAAAATTTTTCTCAAATGACAATATTGAAATAATTTACATAATTAATTCTCACTGAGCCTAAATTAACAATAGTGCCCATACAATGTTGCAAACCGAATGCTAGTTCATTGAACTTGACCGAATGGTCCCTGATCTGTATATTTTTTGGTTGAAGCCGTGATGGGCAGTGTGGATAGATCGGCATTAAAATTCTAAACTATAATTCGGATTTAGATTGTGCGTGATTTGATTTTAAGTACTGATTAGTATCTTGAATACAAAATTTCACCATAGGTGCATAAATAAGCATAATTCTCCTAGTAAAATGTATTTGAGCAATGATTCACCAATTTTATCGGACACCCAAAATCATTGAACCTACCTAAATAGTTTTCAAACGCAATCGTGACAA